GGGGGGGGGACAGCAGCAACCACAGCAGGAAGAGAGGGCAGACCACGAAGGTTGGGGCAGCTTGATGGTTGCTGTACAGACACTTATGGTCAAAGACTTACACTCGAGAGAAAGCTTACACGTATGGCTGTTCACTAACAGGCCCGGGAAACCGAACATCTCCTCTCCCGAGACAGCGGAAGCGGGTAACAGCTCGCACCCGTTCCCAGCGGAGGGAGCTTGTTAACAAAATGACAGCAAGGGTTCACCACTACCACGTACCCTCCTTTTCAGCTGAACCAAACCCACTGTACTTGAGTGTTGAGTCCACCTCCACTGCAGAGAACACGGCTCTGGCAGCAGCTTTGGCCAACGAGGATTTTATTCAGTCACTGGCTATATACAGGGTATACCTTGGACAGCCTGTCCTTTTGCTTAGGCACCTGAATGGCAGGGGTCTGCCCGCACCAGAGCTGAGAGTTCTGTGCTCAACTAAGAGACGGGCCAAAAAGCCCATCGTCCCTTCCGATTCCTCGCCCATGGTCTCCTCGCGCACCGACAGTCAGTCCAGAAACAGTTTCCGTGAGCCCATCCGAGAACGGTTGGAGCGGCGGATGTCGAACTTGGAGTCCCGGCACTTCTGGCAGACAAACACTTCCGGAACATTGGATTTCCGGATTTTCGCACAGGACAGGTGAATCCAGGTGTGGCACTCGTTACACTCAATCATAGGGCGGCCGGCGAACGGTTTCATGCAGAAGCAGGTGACGAGGTCCCAGGAGTCGTCATCTGAAAAGGGGAGACACATGTAAGGGGAGGGGAAGAACCTTCCTGTGACCTCTCCCCATCCCACCTGCTCCTCCAGTGGGTCCAGGCAGCTGAGCTGCAGTAAAGCCCGATCTTCACCAAATGCACGGACTCCAACTTGCACTAAGGGCAGGGCTATCAGACGGGCAGGGCCCTCGGAAGTGCTCCCCTCTCTGAAAGTGGAGCAAATGCGTGAACGAAGCCACTGAAATGTGTGGCACCAGGAATTAACCACGAGAGGTGGACTTAGAAGCTAGCTTATTTTTGTATTTGGAGGCCTGTCCCGGAATCTCGGCTGTCTCCAGCCACAATCACCCCCTCCCCCACCACTTCCTAAACATCTCAGTGTCCACCTTCTTCTCCCTTCCTCCCTAGAGATGGCGGGGCACACTCTGCTGTCCCGCTGCCAGGAAGGGACCGTTCCAAAACTCCTGCCTACACCCCCTGATCTTCGGACCACCAGCCACTCGCGTGGCACTCCTCCGGGGACCACTCACCCGAATCCACCATTATGTCCTCATCATTGCCGGTGCTGTCCTCGTCCCGGAACACCACCTGCTTTCCCTGCCGGACAATAGTCCGTTTGCCTTCAGTCTTTATTTCTTTGACCTGATCAGGTGACACCGTGACACAAGATCCGCTGGAAGGAGTGTCAGAGTCCCAGCCTGAGCAGGGGTCGCCGGGAGCCTGGGGGATATCCTGCAGGGCGGGACTTGTGGGGGTCTCTACATATGGGTCAGCAGCTTCCAGCTTCAGCAAGCTCCCCATGTACCCCTCCTTCACAGGCACATCACTGTCCCTCCGCTTCCTCTTCTTCTTCTTCTTCAGCTTGTCCGTTTTCTTTCTGTCCAGCAAGAAGTTACTGGGCTTGGCTCGCTGCAGGAGGCTCGGCTGCAGGTGGCCAAAGCAGCGGTCAGAGACCGGCAAGGGTACCGCGGACGCCATGTCGGTGAAACCAGCGTCCCAGCCGTCACTGTCGATGGTACCAGCGGTGCTGTTGGCAGGGCTGGGGCTGCTCCTCAAAGGGAGCTCCTGAAAGGACAGAAGCACAGGCGTGGGGTCCGAGTGCTTCGGCCGGTCCCCGGCAACAAGAGCTAGCCACAGGCAGAGTGTCCGCAGCCGGTCAGGCCTACAGACCAGGGCTATCAGAACCGTGACCTTCTCGGCTCTCACAGGCAGTACTCTTTAGGAATGGTGTCATGAGCACTCTACCGTGACCTTCCAGATAGAATGTTAACCCCCGAGGAGGAAAACCTTCTCTTGCTGAACCCTCAGCCCCTGGACCAGAGCCAGGAACTCATTCGATGCCCAGTAAGTATCTACAAAAGTGCCAAGGACACCCTCTGAAAGCCCCTTATCTTTCCCCGATTGTAATATCTCCTGTCTGTTTGTCCTCCCAAGGGGTGTATTTTTTTTTTAATTAAGTGAATTTAAATTAGTTTTGGGAGTTTCCTGACACTCTTCTTCAAAACTGGAGACATCCCCCCAAATACTGCAAAATCAAAGTAGGTAATCATAGCTCCAAAGCCATGAGCTAATCTCTGTGGTTCCTTCAGACCAGTCAAGCATTTTATTTACAAACAGTGGCAACATTCTGCGTGGTACAAAAGACACACTTATCCACGTCCACGGCAAACAGAAGTGATAAGCCAATGCTGGACTCTGACCTCTTAATAAACTTTCCTTTCTTTCGAGACCTGTATAATACAAGCTTCAACACTATGACCATGGTGGTCCTCAGTCCTGCCCGTTAGTTACTTAGCAAGGAGAAAAGAAATCCCTTAAAACACAGGGGATTTGGGCCACAAGTCCCTGAAGACACTGTAACATGGTGTGCAAAGCAAGTGGAGAGCTGCTCACCAGAAGAACAGTGTAGACCGGGCCTAACCGTCCGGCTGAACCCCAGGCTCTGCCACTGTAATTAGCCTGGAACCCAGGGTGAGGAGTGCCCCAACGTCTTCGTCTTTAAAATGGGGATAAATAACAGCACCTGTCTCATAGATCATAAAGACCAAGAACGCCGCCCGGCCACTGTAGGCACTGCATCTGCACCGGACATTCAGAGCGGGCGGACAGGAAACATGTTATTTGCAAGCAAACGCTTAAAGTTTATTAAATCATTTTTAGACAAGCCTATGTTTTCTATCTGAGTTTTAGAAACCACCTCCCAGACAGGTCTAAGTTTCCTAGAAAGATTTCTACCTGACAGCCGTCTGAAGTCCCCCCACCCCACCCGTTCCAGACCCCCACCCTGCCACTGGCTTCACTGCCAGCAAGAAGGGTGGCCCTGAAGATTACCTCCTTCGGATAAGGAATGTAGCCAGCATAGGCCAAGACAAAGGTGCAGAATTTGTTGAAATCCTCCACAGTCCTGCGCCTCTTGTAACTGGGGGAGCACTCCTGTTAGCAGGCGAGAAAACGGGGTGTGTTTGAAAGTAGGCACTTGGAGATGGAACCACAGAAACAAAACTAAGCCCGCTGGAGATGTTCTCGTCAACCACTTGAAAATACACGGTTAGATTTACAAACACTCCAGAAACAAGATAAGGTAGGTTTGGGTCCGAGAAATAGCACTGTACTCAGGAGGCTGAAAGAAGGGTATTGTGGTGTTTTGCCAAGGGCAAACACTGGGGCACTGGTGGGCAGATAACAACATGCACAAGAATCTATTTCTTGTGCTCCTGTGGCATTTTCCAACATTATCACTGTCTGCAGGCCTATCAGGAGCTCTAAAAACTGTGTTTTTGCTACAGATTTTCCATTTTGAAAATAAACTTCAGCTGCAGCTGTAATCCAAATATTTTTAAGTGATTTCAAAGTCAACTACTTCTTACCCTTCAGAACTCAACTCAGGTCTGACCCCTCCCCAGCCAGGGAGGAACTCCTCCTCCTCCTGGGCGCTCTCCTCCAGGAGAGGCCACTTCCGCTGGCCTTCCGCTGGCCCTCCGCTGCTGCAACACCCAGCGTCCAGGGGGCCAGCACCCAAATGCTCCCCGACTCAGAAATTAAACCAGGAACGTTGTTCCTAGGCTTAACTTGCAGGGAGAAGAAATACTGGATGAAATACTAGAGGATTTTGGCTTGTGTGTCCTGTCTCCATTCAATCTAGAAACGTCCTTAACAAGAAGGGGTTTTCTCCCGAAAAAGAGCAGCTCGGGGAGAAAGAACCTTTATTTGCTAAAAAGCAAAACAACTCTCCTTAATTTTGGTTTATTCGGCTAGCTTATTTACCGAGATTTCCTTCAGGCATTTTAGCACCCATCCCAACCCCATCCTTACGTGCTCAGCTCCCATTTCCAGAACCCAGGGACCCCCTACCCTGCTAGGGTGAAAGCGGGACAGAAAGCTGGGGGGTGGGTTCCTGGACCCAGCCCAGCCCCTCCACAGGACGGTGGGCCCAGAAAGCGGCGCGGCACCGGCGCGCCGCCCGCAGGTTTCCTTCCGAAGGCTCCGCTTATTTTTTCAACTTGGTTCTAGCAGACCCCCTC